AAATGAATTTTTTGCAAATTTAGTTCTGGTAGCAGGGACATAAAAAGTGGATTTTTGTCTGAGATTAATATTTCGTGGACATTTAAATTGTAGTTTAGACAATAAATACGGCGAATCGATTTCGTTATTCAAGATCTTATATAAAAGGACTTGATCTCGTTGAGCACGTCGTTCAACTGCTGACATAAGGATAGAAATTTTCTTATTATTAATAGAAATGTTCACTGGGAGGTTCTTAATAAATCGATCATGTATACGTTCGATTCTACAAATATGATTCTTATACTGAGGGTTCCAAACAGAAGAAGCATACTCCAAGATAGATCTCACGAAGGTGTTGTACAAAAGAATGTGTGTTGACGGTTGCTTAAACTCTTTGGATATCCTCAGTACAAAACCAGCATACGATAAGCTTTGTTAGCTATATAAGCAACGTGCTCATCAAGAAGAGTAACTTGGAGTCGATTATAACTCCAAGATCTTTAACCACACTAGCTCTGGAAATAATTTCTTTATTTAATTTGTACTGGTAATTAATAGTTAAAACGTTTTCTAGTAAAAGTAATAACATTGCACTTTTTAATGTTCAAGAACAAAGAATTCCTGGAACAATAATCACTAAACCGATCTAAATCATTCTGGAAATCAATACAATCATTTATAACTTTAATAATTTTAAATATTTTATTATCATCAGCGTATAGTAAAAATTGGAGTGCTCGAAAACTAGGTTAATATCATTTAAGTATACATTAAATAATAAGGGACCTAGATGGGATTCCTTGGGGTACCCCAGATGGGACTGGAATAAAAGATGAACAGTAAACCCTTTATAGTTACTGCTTGGACTACGGTTACTAAGGTACGACTCAATCCAACGCAGAAGGTCGCCGTGTACACCAATGTATTTAATTTTCTAGAAGAATAAGGTGAGATATATTTTATCAAAAGCCTTAGAAAAAATCTGTGTACACGGCGTCCAACCTGATATCCATTATCCATTGCACACGTAACAAAATCAGTGAATTCGCAAAGATTCGTTTCAGTAGATTTTCTGTTAATAAAACCGTGCTGTTGTTCAATAATTAAAGGTCTAATAACGGGTAACATTGTATCATAAACCATCTTTTCAAACATCTTAGGGATACAACTTAGTTTCGAAATAGGACGGTAATTTTTTATGTCATGCTTATCACGCTTTTAAAGATAGGTACTACATATGACCTTTTCCATTGAGAAAGGCATAGTGCACGTCCGTAAAGATAGAGTAAAAAGAATAAATAAGGGTAATCTAAGGCTCTCATTACATCTCTTCAAGAATATAGCAGGTACACCGTCTGGACCACAGCCCTTGTTTATGTTTAATGATTTTAAGTATTTATCAACAGTCAGCATTGAAATATTAACAGAAGAAAGGTCCATGCTATTACAGCGAGGGTGAACGTCTACTTTAAATATTTGGGGTATACTTAATGGGAGTCTGCTCAAAAGAAGAATAAAAATAGTTGTTGAAAAGATCGCTAATCTCTTGTCCATTATCTGTAGAAAAATTATCCAGGTAAAACATGTTCAGGTAAGTCAGCGCTTTGCTTTTTAGATTTTACAAATGTCCAAAAGTATTTAGAGTCCTTAGCAATTGTGTTTTCAGCGTATTTCAGATAGTTATTATAACATTCGGTATCAACTACTTTTGTCTCCTCCTCAGCATCCGAAAAAAGTACAATAGTCACTATAATTTTCATAAGTTTTTCCATTTTTTATGGACTTTTATTTTTTCCTTAGTAATTTTTTTCTAACGCAGAGGTATACCAAATGGGATATTTATTATTAACAAGAACAATTTTAGTGGGAACAAGAGAATCAATAACACGATTAATGATTTCGTAAAAATACTTCAACTGCACGCTCTATATCTAAAGACTTAAAAACACTCCGGCCAATCAATTTCAAACAACCTTTTATAATTTCATGATAATTCGCTTTACGGAAAAGTTTAACAACTCGTGGAGCATTCGTTGAGAAAGTTAGATAGTAAATTGCTTTAATTCAAACTTCTAGAGCGGGGTGATGTGAATCTTCTTTAACTAAAGGTATTTCACAGTGTTTTACACTAATACAATTAGAATTTGCTAATCACCAGATCCCAAATATCGATTATTACCGTTAGGTATAATGTTAAACTGGTTTAAGTTATTTTATTCGTAAAAAAGTAGATAATAGGCTAACTTGAGAATTTGAATCTCTGGGTGTGTGTAACAGTTTAGTGACGTTAGTATCATCAACTTGAGACCAATTAGCGGCCGGGATATTGAAATCTCCAACTAATAAAAATGTGTCTTTAGGATTTAAAATGATTGCTTCGGATACTTGTTCATAAAAATTTAATTTGATCATCAAGTTGCAACGCACATTGGGGAAAGTAACCGCAAAATATTCGAAAGTTGGTAAGATTGTTGTTTGACTTAATGCCTATACAAATAGTAATAACATCTGATGAGCAAGTATTAGTGGAGGGTTTTGAACGGTTACTTCTCTCACAGTTAAGCCATTTCGAACGGCAATCAGAACGCCACCACCTAGTTTATCATTCCGAGAATCATAATCACGATCGCATCGATAGACGGAGTATCTGTAGTCAAAGAGCTCAGAATCATAAATACCAGGCAACAACCATGTTTCTGTTAAGCAAATAATATCGTATTCTACATTCAATATATTAGAAAAAAATGAAAGAGGTTTTAGAACGCAGACCACGTACATTTTGGTAAATAAAATTATTTTAGAATCCATTGGAAATATAATAATACTATAAACAACATTACTAAAGAATTATAAAGTGTAAAAATAAGAAACAACAATTTATCGACAGAAAATAATAATTCATTAAAAGTGGATTAAAATATTTGAACCCTGCATTCATCCAGTTAATACATTGAAAACAATACATAAAAACATTATTACCGCTAAGTAAAAAATGTAACAAATATTCATTAAATCTATTAAATTTCAAATAATGAATGGATAAAAGAAAACCTAATAATAGTTTAATTAAAATATCCATCTCTTTCTTAAAACTGCGAAATAAAAATATAAGTATATAATACATGAAAACAGTGCATAAAAACATTATTAATACTAACTAAAAATTTTAACAAATATTTATTAAATCTATAAAATTCCAAATAATAAATAGATAAAAAAGAAACCTAAAAATAGTTTAATTAAAATATTCATCTCTCTCTTAAAACTGCGAAATAAAAAATATAGGTATATTAAGAAATTTTATCAAGAATTGTACATGCACATAGAAATAAAAAATGCAATAAATCAATAAATACATTATTAACACTTATATTATTCTTTTAAAATCATTTTCGGACTGAATGTGCAGAACAGGACTAGTGTCGTTTTTTTCTCACCATGATGGAACAGTTCTTAACCCATACATATTTAAACTTCTTTTCACGAGCTAGATCCTTAGTCTTACGGAGGATCATTTTATTGAAACTAGTAAGGTGATCGTTAAAGTAAATGCGATTGCTATTACCTACATATCCGATATCACAACACTTTAAATTCTTCTTTTCCCTCAATCTAGCCAGAAAGTCGTCCTTTTTATATCGAGACAGGAAAACGAATTATAAATAGGTCTAGATTTTTTTGAATCGTTATGCTTTGGAGTGACTCTAGTGATAAAGTCAATATCTGTAGCAACATAATTTTTAACATCGGCAACATCGGCAATTTTACTAATTATGTTTAGTAAATTCTCATTTTTCGCTTCTGGTATACCGATTATCTCAATGTTTGAACGTCGGGCCCATTGCTCCTTTTTATTAATATCGTTCTGAAGTGCGGACACGGCCCCTTGCAAGTTTAAGCATTCCGATCTACTAGCTTCAATTTGTTTTATGCTGATATTGAAGTTATTAGTATTGTATACTAATCAGAAAAGGAAACACATTAAAGTTACAAATAGAATTAATTATACAATATATATATATACAAAACAAATGTACATTTAATAATTACTGTACGAGTCTAAGTCAATAAAATATATATAAGTGGGAGAGTCTCTTATATAGCTACTTTTAGCAATTTTAATAAATATGAAATAAAATGAAATGAAAATAAACTTTATTCAATTAGACTTAATACAAGTACTTTTGAATCGTCAATTTAATGAAAGCGTCAGTGTAGTCAGTCCGTGAGGAAGCTACCACCGGCTCGGAAAGCAGTTCTGCTGAGAAGAACCAGCGAGAAACTCAACAGTTGGTCTTTTAAAGTATAAACAATAAGTTTATAATGAATAAATATGAAATTAAGGCTATGAGTGTAAAATAAACGCAGAACGTACTTGTTTTAAACGATGACAGCTGCTTTGTTTACTTTTTAATCCATATATGTATGTACATATGTAAATAAATTATTGTTCACTTAGTGATAGAAATTGGAAGATAATCATTATTAAAAATTTGAGGAAAATTTATATGAATAGCATTTACCTATCCATATAAAAAAACTGACTATTTTCATTTTTTTTATTTATAAGACTAAAGCTAAAAAATAAAATCGGTTGACAAACAGAGAAGAAAAAGGTACTGAACTACGAGTATTTGGTCTTTGCTTATTTATATATAGACTTGCGCGACTCACCCTCGCTTAACTCGGGTTTTTCCCTAGCTTAATTTCCTTTCCTTTTAATTTTTACTGCCTTAAGGGATGATTTCTGGGATAAAAAATCCTATATGCTTCCCAAGATCTCAAAATATCTTCTTATCAAATTTCATCTAAATCGTTTCGGTAGATCCAGAGATTACCCCCTACAACGTCACAAACTTACAATCTCACAAACTCACAAACTTTACCTCTTCATAATATTAATATAGATTTTTGAAAGTAGAAATGTAGCTTATTACTCCGGGGCCACTTATACAGAAACTTAAAAAGACAAACTTGATTTATTCTAAAATTAATTCAAATGTTATTTTCTGTTTCAGGATCTTGCTTAAGTTACGGACATTCTTGTTGGGGAGGTGAGTACATTATTTTTATTACTTTGAATCAAAATTGTAGTGTGGTTATATTTTTTATAGCTATCAGATACCTAAATAATTATATTTATGAAATATTATATAATTAACATTATATTACAAGAGTTACAATTTTTTTTTGCCAAATATATATGAAAAAATATTTTTTTAACTAATCCTACTAATAATATAGAGGTGAAAACATTTGAAACGATAAAATTTAATGTATAAATGTTGTTTTTCTTTGACGCTAAAATTACTGAACGGATTTTGATCAAGCTTTATAATTTATAGCTTGTATAAACATATATCAAAGTTACATAGATTATTTATTTATTATTTTTTTTAACATAATAATACAAAAATGAAATTATAGTACTATTTCGTTATCAGATATAGAAACTTAATTTTCCTCCTTCCCTCTAAAGTTTATAAAAATAAAAATGAACGGTGAGTGTGAAAGTTTCGAAATATTTTACTAAGTGTATAAAACTTATATACACGTCTAGTAGTACTTTTTGAAGTATATTGTCTTATATTTTAAAAAGCTCAGTATAATAGGAAACATTAAACCTATTGAAGCTCATATCCATTTATTTATGAAAATAAGTAAAGCGAACTATATAAAATCTTTTTCAATTACTTAAATTGCAATTCTCTAAAACCAAAGTATTAATTTATAAAATCAATACAATATTTTTTTTTATACTTTACAAATTATATGAATAAAAATGAAATATTTTCCTTATCATATAAGTCTGTAGACATAAATGTATGTATGTAGGTTATATTTACATATATCCTAAAGTTAAAATTATGCAAAAGGGTAATATTATAATATGTATGTGCTAATTGAATCAGGGATTCTAGGTGTTTAAAAGCTAAATTAAAATAATTTACAAGTTAGCAATTATACCTAATAATTTATAACTTATATGACATTATTGATAAAGTAACACAAATGTGTTACGTTTTAACGTTTAGTATAGATTTCTCAAAGATGAGATATTTTCCCGTAGTAAAAAGAATACTAGGTACATGTTGACCCGGATAACCAGCTATTATCCATCAAAACCCCTCTAGTGGTTTTTCCATGTTGCGGTCACAGACAGACAGACAGACGAAAATTCTAAAAACTAAAGATTCGGCCTCTGTATCGATAGTAATGACTATTTCAATGAGATTTCCCAAAAGCTATTTACTTTATTTTGTACTTTTATTATTTAAAGACCAATAATTTTCATACAGATGGCATATATAGATACTATATTATTTTGTCGTCTGTGCAGATAAGCTCTTAGTAAGAGTAAGTTAAGCTATTTTTTTAATGAAATTGCAAAAATTTTCTAAAGAAGTTGGGCAAAGCGAAGGCAGATTACTCACACACTCTCACACGGTAGTGAATATTAATGAAAGAACGCAACATGTTTCACTATAAATTGCATCAACACCATGAATGTATAGGGACTTATTTATATTATCATCGCGCGGTATACCATAAGCTCGCTGTAATCCACCTCGCGTAATAAAGTTTAACTTGAGTGCGTATATAAGGTTTTGACTTACTAAATATATACTTTTACTATATACAAAGAAGTTAACTATATAAGATGATAGATGTTAAATCATAATATTATATGTAGTGATGTACCCGAGCGAAGTAAAGGTTAGGTTAGTGATACCTTTGCTTCGCTCGGGTACTTCCCTATGTCCGTTTTAAATTAAAAAAAATAGTTACATATAGCGTGTGAACCTTAGGAAATAGATATATAGTATTGTGGACGTTTCTGTAGGCCTTTTTAAGATCTACAATTTTCTTCCATATTGTTTTGATGTATCTCTTAAGGTTTAGCCTACGTTAGCCATGTAATTTGTAAGGATGTCTTTCCATGGGAATGAAAGATTTTCTGTAGTAAAAGATATTCTAAATATTGATCTGAGTAATAAGTTATCACTACACAAAATTTAGTTAATATCCGTTTAGTACTTTTCGCGTGAAACACATACAAATACGCAGACAAAGAGACAAAAAAAATCAATAACTATTGTTTTGTCATTCTGTACACAATACGTTACAGTCATTGTTTAAAAAAATATCTCATGTACAGATTTCTCTTATTTACTATTTTATTGTATATATATAATAAAATGTTTAAAAGAGCCATTAACAAGAAAATTGATTTGAATTTTATTATGGAAAGCGCTGTTTAAGGCCCAAAGTAGTGGAATTAAAAATACTACTACATAAATTGGAGTGTTTGTTTGTAATGTCAAAATAAGAGTCTTTTTACTAAATAAATACATATAAAATTAATTAAGTTACTTAAGAAAACTCCAATTTTTATATGAGAAAAACACAATTTTTAAAAATTTTGTCTGTCTGTTCGTTCTGACTAATCTCCGAAACGACCAATGATGTTATAAGGAGTAACTTACATTTATTATTATTTTAGAAAAAGCTAAAAAATAAATAAAACGTACCTAGGGAAGTACCCAAGCGAAGCCAGGGTAAGTCGTTAGTAATACATAAAGTATTATATTCAATGTACAGTGACGGATAAATGATGTTTTATTAGGTTTTCTTTGTCCATCTAGCAAGGAATATAGCATGAAACTAATATAATTAACTTTATTTTCCTCGTGTTCTACTTTTAAGTGTTATTAGATATTTTATAATTTTAAGTTTTATGTAACCATGAGCAATTACTGATGATGGAGCTTTCGTGATTATTTTATTTTTGTATATTTAGATCGATCCTTATATTCATAGAGTGATGTTAGGTAGTCTTTGCAACTTTTTCAATAAATAGGTATTCTATAGATTGCAAAAAAAACGTTTCCAAGTCCGACATATAGAACAAAAGTATGCGCATTCGAATAAGTAAATAAATACAAATAACAACCCTTCAGGTTTATAATATTATATTACAATTTTACAAATATTGTTAAATTCAAAATTATTTGTTAGTAAATTATATAATTTATAAACTACTCTTTTATTCTATTTATTTCTATATTTCATTATTGAAATGGTTACAAAACGTATTCAGAAATACAACAAATAGTATTCACAATGCTGCAACTATACTTACTATATATGTATATACTATATAATATTTTCGTCCAAAAAAAATATATTTCCCATACATTCCTTTAGATACAATTACTATAAAAAACATTTGAAGTAAATTTTAAAAACTCCAAACTCAAATTATCATACCTCTCCTCTTTTAATAAGAAGGAATTCGTACTATAAAATATTAAAAGTTTGTAACAAAAATTATGTATTAAGTACGCTTTAATTGAGCTTTGAAAGAAATTTTGCAAGAATTTTAATTATGTTATAATTTTTAAATAAAAATAAACCAAGGAGTCAGAAAAAAGGATCAGCGTTTTAGGGATACACTTATTATATACATATGTTATAGGATGTTTTGCAACACTTTAAAAATATATAAAAAATTGACAAAAACATTTAAGTTGTAAATAGAAACTTTAAAACCTTAAATAGCTTATAAAAAATCTTGAATTCAATTCCTTCCGTATAAATTTTATAAAAGACTAGTGGCTCACCATTGCTTCGCTCGGGTTCGTCCCTAGGTTGCTTTCCCATACAAATTTCCATCCACATTTTCACCCCCTTAAGGGATGATTTCCGGGATAAAAAGTATCCTGTCTTTTCTAGTTTCTCAAACTATCTTTTTACTAAATTTCATCTAAATCGGTTCAGTAGATCCAGAGATTACTTCCTACAACCTCACAAACTTTACCTCTTTATAATATTAGTATAGATAACTTTGAGTTTATGAGAGTTATATTTATGAAACGTTTATAAGCCATAATATATCGTATGTGAGATTTTTATCAAAGCTCGATTAAACCTTGTGATATACCACCGTCAAATGCACCTGTCCCTATGACAATTTTCTCATTTAAATTGTAACTACATATAGTTTGTAATAATACATAATTATAGCATAAATACGTTTAGCTTTGTTTATTAATAATAGCTGTTATGGATATTGTGCCTATTATATTTGATAATTTATTACTAACTAGCAAAACCCGCGGCTTCGTTCACGCTAAAACTACAAAAAAAAAATTGTAGGTTTCATACAAACTTTCATCCGTTATTTTACCTCCTTATGGGATGAATTTGAAAAAAAAAATGAATTTGAAGAGCATTTATACCAAGTTTCAAGTAATTCTGATCATACATATTTTTTTGGATTGTATTATAACATATTTTCCCGTGGGAAAGAGATAATTTCCCGCGGTAAAATGTCACTCTCCTGTCCTCCAACTATCTATCTCCACACAAAAAATCACGCCAACCCGTCACTCCTTTTCGACGTGAAAGAAGGACAAACAAACAAACACACTTTCACATTTATACTATTAGTATGGATAGTATATAATATGGATATCCAGCCCTCAGTTCCATTAAACTAACTATTTTAACTTACCATACCTAACATGTCTCATGATAACTACTTCAAGCAACAAATAATTAATACTGCCCTCATAAAAAAGAAGGCCGCAACTTCGTCTTTGATTTCGAAATATTTGGAGTTTTGTCTTAGTATGTAGTAGTAGTTTTGACGTAGTTACGATAAAAATGGTTATGGTATCTCCGGATTCATAAGACTTATTTTGAGCTTTGAGATTTAGACTATCAGGTAGGATTTATTTGGTGATTCCGAACCTGCATTTAAATCATTTTTGACCAAATTGTTAGTTAGAGCCTTCTTTATTATGACGGCAGAATAGTAATAAAACATTTTTAAAAACAAGCTTTTATTTAAGAGGAATATCACAAAATGTACAGAGTTCTATGGCATTGAGTTCGAGCGGCCGACGCATCGCTGTTTCTAGCATTTTCTGCACTTGTAATTACTTCTACGTAAAGTTTTTGTAATAAATAATTTAAAAAAAAGTATGTAATTACGTTCCTTTTGAACTGACGGATATCCTGGTATAAATTTTACTTAATAATATTAATGTTGTAAGGATATATTTACAGCTAATTCTGAATGTTTTTAATAGTTTTTAAGATTTTGAAAAGGCTTTTTTTAGAAATCCAATACTTATTTTAACATAAACTCAACTACTTTATACGAGATATTATTATATATATTTTTCATTTTGTTTGCGTAGTATAGTATTTCAATCCATGTCCTTGAAAAAGTGCCGTCGCGCATTTTATTAAAAGCTTGCGGCTGAATTTTAGCTTTAATTCAATTAATAATTAGAATTTACGAAAAGTGAGGCCGCTATGAACTATATTAATAACTATTCTCCAACATACAATAAGTCAAAATTGTCGAAGAGTTTCTCTGAATAAGAACGTCAAAGATGGGTATTAAATTGAAAAATCACGGTCATAATAAATTTATATTTACATATTACTCTTAATATGTAAATATAGCATTATGTAATAGGTTATTATTATGATTGTTTTTGTGTTTACGAACTAGAATAATATTAAATGTTCGATATTAATATGAGTTGTCATTTTAATCTCATCTGTCAGAGGGGCATTAAATTTTCAATGTTCAGGTTTAAGGTTACACGTTGATGCGAATACTAATAAAGCTGTCTAATGAATTCGGATGTCAAATGTTCATTTTGGTAATTAGTATTTTTTTAATATAGACTCGAAAATATATTTAGTAGTATCCAGACTCTGTTTTCGTTCAATTGTAAAATTGTACTAAAGCTAAGACTTCCGTACTAATATATAAATCTGAAGAGCTTCTTTTTTACTTATTTCAACGTGCTCCTATCTGGAACTACAAGACAATTTTGAAAAATTGTTTTTTTTTTTCATATTTATTGACGAAGGACGAATCTAACATTACGGTATACTAAGAAACGGTGCAATACATATCTATCCGCACTTTAATATTATAAATGTGAAAATTTGTGATGGATGTTTGTTCTTTCACGGGAGAACGGCTGAACGGTTCTGGATGAAATTTAGCACACAGATAGATTATAGTCTGGAATAGCACATAGGTTACTTTTTATCTTGGAAAAATGTATGGTTTCCGTGGGATAATTTGGTTTTTGTCTAGGGATAAACCCGAAGCGAAGCGAATACGAGTACCAGTAGGTATATAAGTGGTAATAATTTAATATAAAAGATTAATTATTATCCTTAAAAGATAAAAAAATAAAAGATTTCTTGTATTTTTTCAGCGCACGGTAAGCGATCTGGCAAACCACCCGCGTCTGCCCCAGACTGGTACATCACTAGGATCCTGCGTCGTGTGGCAGCCAACAATGAAATGGTAACATTATTTAAATAATCTAAGAATTAAGTTAATTATTAAATAACTTCTACTAACTTTAAATGTACAACATTTTTTTCATATTGATTTCGTCTTTTATTGTGATTGAAATACACAGTAGAATCTTTTTCATTCAGGTAACTAGGCCTAATAATTTAAGTTACTTCAGGAGCTTTTTTCGACTTTTCCTCAAAGTTTTCAATCATTAGGTAAAAGTTTTATGGTAAAGTTAGAAAAAATGGTAGGATAAATTTGTTAGAAAAAAGGTTGAAAATTATTGTATGTGACTACCATTTCAAATATTTTTAATTGTTTAACTGTTATTATTAACATAAATTAAGATTACGATTCACTTCATAAATTAGTTTTATCCGATATCCAGATACAGACTCACTGAGACTAACCGACTAGGCGGGACATATTATAATGCTCAAGCCCAACATCGCCGACTTCCCAATACCTGGCTACTGCTATTTTGTTATAAAAAATCTAATAAGCTTAGGCCCAACCCGGGAGTCGAAGCCAGGAACTTTCGATCTGCAGTAGTATGTATGCAAGCCAGTAGACCAACGAGGTTTAAAATATACGCATAGCGTAGCTGATCTAGTCTTACATCAATTCAGAAACACTATTTCTGCAATATGTTATTAAAATTTTACACGCTATTAATATTTTTTTATAACAATACGCCATCCTTTATTATTTTCAGAACCGCATTCAGCAGAACGAGGACGACCTCTATCGAGTGGATGATTCACCTTCATCTAAATTCATGTAAGTCGATTTAGTCAGGTGTTAGTCAGCGCTCTGTTATTTAAGAAAATATACAATAGATGGCGTTACAAGTTCTAAAAGACGTTTCTACGAATACTTCTAAAATGAATATCTGAAAAACTCATTTGCTATAAATGAATCTTTTTTCAGAATGTTTTAACAAAATTTTAAATCAATGTTACTTAAAAAAAGCAAAATTATATCCTTTAGTAATACTAATTATTTATTGATATATTATTATTGCTATATGCTTTCTTCAAATCAAAAGTAGAACAAATACGTATATAAGACAACAATACCAAAAAAAATAATTGTGTGTATGTATATAGCCCTGTTTAATTTCCCACTGCTGGGCCTCCCTTCAATACGAGGGGGATCAGGCCATAGTCCACCACTGTGGCCAAGTGCGGGTTGGCGGACTTCACATGTCTTTCGAAAACTTGCTAGGTTCTCTCAGACATGCAGGTTTCCTCACGATGTTTTCCTTCACCATAAGGCAAATGGTAATCGTGTTAGGAATGATTCGCACGTGAAAATATCAGAGGTGCGAGACCCGGGATTTGAACCCGCTTTACTCGGTTTCCCAAGCGAGCGCGTTATCACTGGGCCACAACTGCCTACTAAATTTTTTTGATTGATCTTAGGTAAATATTCTCAAGTTATTCGATACTACTCACTATTCACACATCGTCTATCGTACGATAAAGGGTAGGTAACTATGTTATAAAACTTTGTAGGTGCGCAAAGAACATACCAAAACTATATCATAATCAAAAAAGAGATTCGCATACATTACGAAACAGAAAGTTATTCTTTTTTATATAAAAATAAGCGAATATTTCCAGGGAATCAGAAGAAATGCCCTTGGACCTCGGAGCAAGAGGAGAAGCAAAACCGATGATAGACGACGACTTGCTCTCCAAGATGAAAATTTGGGAAATTATGGTGAGTTCTTACAAAGAAATGGTCACCTTAATTTGTATATAAAATATTTTTTGGAAAATCTTATTGAAATAGTTAATTATTATCGATACATTCTTTAGAATTTTTGTCTGTCTATCTGGGAATGCATCACGAGTAAACTAATGGACAGATTTTGATAAAATTTGGTATGATGATAGCTGGTTATCCGGGTCAACATATAGGATACTTTTTAGTTTTTTAATAATAATATATTGGTTACACGAGCATCGATTAACAATCAGTATGTAAATATTAGCAACAGTAATTTTGTACGAATATTTCTATGAATAAAATAATTTCAACAGTCTAGATTAGGCCTGCAGGCACAAATATGTATGCTTTTTATTTGTAAATAATAACTCCTTTGATAGCCTGATAGATATATAAACATAGTATTGCCCTAAATATTGTTACAATTAAAAAATATATCAATGGAAATATTTTAAAAACTTTAATAATTATTGAACTGTCATAACAAACCAATAAAAACGAGAACATAATAATTATATAATTTATTTTTATTTAAAATAGAACGACATAGGCCATTTTTGCTATAACAGCATGATATGATTTTTTATTATTATTATAATTAACTCAATATCATTCATTTCTTTCAGAAAGCAGCCTCACAAGAGAAGTGAACGTACAACAGGACTGATCATTTATATTTAATCCCAATATAATCGTAATACTCCCGTAGTCGAGCAAGGCTGGGTTGCTTCGACTAACTGTAATATATAGCATAAGCGTGTACAATAAACATTTTTCCAATCGGTTTTAGTTATTTCATGTTTATATATTATAGTATTATGTATTAAACAGTTCAAAAGTGGACAAATTTTATTTGTTTAATTTTATGTCCTACCCTACTATGATTTTAACTTGTTACATTCTAGTTAAATAATTTTTATGCTTAGAAATTTAGGGATGGTCGAGAAAAAAAGTGATTTTTCACATATAGTAAATGTTCTGTTTGTCATAATCTTATAATATTAAATGAGCATTTCTTATATAGGTAAAAATTTATTTCGTGTATCTCGGAAACCACCTCTAACAATTTAAATCAAATTTTGTATGGGTTTATAAGGTTTTGTTTTTTAAGTTTATCTGTATAGGTATTTTGAAATAAAACCTAATATTTAACAAAAGAAAAACGGCCGAGCGAAGCTCGATCGCCCAGGTACGAAAAATAATAGCAGTGACTATGAAAGTGAGCTTAAAGAAGCTCAAAAATATTTATGAAAAGCATACTTCTATCAATTTCAAAATAAGTTTACATGTAATATAAAGCTTTAAGAATTAACATTAATTTACTTAATTTCAAATATGTTATTTTACTAACAATAAATAATTATTTATTATAAGAATACTAAAGTGCTGTTTTTCAATAAATTTAAATGTAAAATTAAATGCTCATTCCTCCTAAAACTAAAATAGGTAACCGTGCATAAAACTAGTGTTTTACTAAAAATAATAATTTCTCAAATATCAATAGTACCTACATACAATTTTTATACAACTTTGGCGCCAATTTAATTTTTTTTTTCAACAAAAAACTGAAAAGGTATGTTTCATACAAACTTTCATCCCCTATTTTACCCCCTTATGAGATGAATTTCGAAAAATGCCAAAACACGTATTTATTTAATTGTATTAGAGAACATTAATACCAATTTTCAAGTATTTCTGATCATAAACAATTTTCGGGTGGTATTATAGCGTCTTTTCCGTGGGGATGACATAATGTCCCGTGGTATAAAAAGCCTATATCACTCTCCACCCCTCTATCTCCACATAAAAAATCACGCCCATCCGTCACTATGTTTTGGCGTAAAAGAAGGACAAACAAAACATGCAAACACACTTTAACATTTATAATATTAGTATGGACATTGATGTCCAGATACAATAAAAAGTATTAGAAAAATATTATAAACGTGAATAAGTCTCACTCTCTCAACTCACTCAGAACGTATTGGTTTTCATAGATTCGTAAAACAGGTCACCCTCGATAAGAAGTCACGGGCAACAACTAGTAAATCGATCCGACTTACACTTACTCAATTGCACTAAAAATGTTCTCAATGAGCTTTTGGAGTTGGGATAACGTCTAGTGCAATCATAACGAGAGTTCTTTAAAAGCATTGTTGCTTCTCCAGACAGTGATGTTAATTGCTACCTTTCACTGATAAGGGCCTGGCCTAAGTTAGAAATTCATATATAACACAAGTAGCCTGAATCAAGAGAAAATGATTAAGTTAGCTTAATATATGAAAATGTTATTTTTATTTGTAACAAATCGATCTTATTATTATATATTACAAGTGTTTATTAATAACTTTACACTCGCTTCACTCGGGTGCGTTCCTAGATACGTTTTAATTTTTAAGCGGAACCCTAATTCTTTTCTAAAATAAAAGAAACCTAAATTACTTCTTATAGCATCAGCTATCTACCAGTGAAAGTCCCGTTAAAATCAGTCCAGCCGTTTCGGAGACTAGCTGGAACAAACAGACAGGCAGACAAAAATTTAAAAAAATGTTTTTTTGATAAAAATTTCTTATAAGTACCGTATAAAATTTCATATGCATTTAGTAAAAAGCTGTTATTTTGACATAACAAGCAGACACTTCAATTTTATTTATCTTCTGTATAGATAAATCGCTTAGAGCTTCATATTTGTACTAGGCATTAAAAGGCCTTATTTAGGGTCGAGGATTTTAAGGTAAAACATTTAGTATGTTATTGCATATTTGTTCTATATATATAAGTAGATGTGTTCTTAATTATTTTCTTGATAATTTTGTTTACATAGTTGTATGTAGAGTATTTTTTAGCATCAAAACATCATCAAAACATATGCATAAAATCTTATCTATATATATAAAAAACTAACTGTGACCAAAAATGTTTTTGGTGTTTATCCATGGCTCGGCTCATAAATATAAATAATTAAAGTTTATGTGTTACTCTGATGTATAAGCTATATAATTGCAAAATTTCATCAAAATTCGTTCAGTAGTTGTTGCGTGAAAGAGGAACAAACGTACATTCATACATTCTCACAAGTTTATAATATTATTAGTAGGATTACAAAAAGATTGTTTCAGTCATTTGTAATACATATATTAAAGTCATTTGTAATACATACAATAAGCACATTCTTTCGGTCTTATTTAAAAAGCATTTGCTATATTGTTTTACCGTTACCAATTCTGGACAAATCATTACATGTACACCGTATATGGTAATTAGAAGCAATCTTTTTAAATAAAACTATCTTTTCAGATTTTTTGCGGGTTTTATTTTGATTTTTAGTTTTACAGCAATTATGGTCACGGGAGATGCTAAGGTTTTAGACGTCTCAAAGGCATTGTATAGTTGTTAAAGATAGCCAACACACAAAATAACAAAAAAAAATTAAGAACATACAAAAATGGCACAAAAGTACCTTACAATATCTGTTAATTTTAAACATTTTATAAATTTATTATAATTAGATGATATATTTTATAAGCATTTGTTTCATGCAAGACTAAGCCCGTTAGCTTCGCCTGCTTAACTGACATGCCACGAGTTCTATTATTGGGAAAAATGTACTTACAACATAAAAGCAAATACAAAGGAGAAATCTTTTCAAATTTTCATATTATATTAAAAAAATGTAAAAGAAAACAATTCAGTTCATTTAAAATCAATCAAAAACAAACTGCATTCGCACCGGCGCAGCTTAATTCTCTTTCCCTTACTACGCTTCACTTGTTAACTAAACGTATAAATATATCACTCGTCAATGTAACTAATAAAAATGATAATATGCTGTCCACTCGTCCATATCAATAAAAATAAAAATAAGCTGTAACTTATAGAGCTTGTATTAGCAAACAATGTTTAAATAAAAATGCCACTTCTCCTATATCTATACTAATATTATAAATGTGAAAGTTGGTGAGTATGGATGTATGTTTGTTACTGTTTCATGCAAAAACTACTGAATGGATTTTAATGAAACTTTACAATAATATAGCTCATACATTAGAATAACACATAGACTTGTATCCCGGAAAAATGTACGGTTCCTGTGGGATAGATTTGTTTTTGTTTTGTTTTGTATGCATATACTTTTTTTTAATTTAACGTATTTATGCAGTGTCACTAATGATATACTAACGATTTACCTCCGCTATGCTCAGGTGCGTCCGGAGGTGCCTAAGAATAGCCTATGACCTATAAGTATTATTCCAGGTCATATCTGTGTACTACATTTCATGCAACTCTATCCAGTCCTTTTAGCGTGAATGATTTATTGAAAATTTCTCCATTTATTGAAGTAACAATCATACATTCATACAAAACTGCACATTAATAATACTTCAATTATAGTTTGAAATACAAATAGTAGGGGAAAGCAATTATAGCTAAACATTTTTTTTTAATTTCACACCACACTCTTCAAAGCTTGGTAAACAACTTATATTGTTCTTGCTACAAAGACGTCTAAACCGAATAATTACAAAATGTAATTTACATTTTACTGTTAGAAACTTCATTGCAACTCCTTCCTTTCAATTTTTTTTATATGTAATAATTGTTTTTAAAAATAAAACAAACTAGCTTTTTTTCCAATAATTTGTATTCACTATTAGTTTATAATCTTCTATATTATTATTTTTCATCTAACTTCAAATATCTAAAACTAAAAACTAAAATACCCATGCATCTGCATAAAAATAGAAAATTTGTTTTTTTTTTAAGAAAAAACACCTATATAGATAAACTTAAAAAGCACTTAAAACCTTACCCAAAAGTAAAATTTCATCCAAATTATTAGAGTCGTTTCCGATATACATGAAATAAGTTTATATAAATACCTGAATTGCTCATTTAATATTATAAGATTAGTATAACAGTAAGGATAAGCAAATCAAATAATAGCTTTAATCTAGTTTCCCTGAAAAAATTAAAAGCGAAATCTAATAAGCGAAATATCCTCTGGAAATAAACTAAGAGAGTTTCGGTGAAAAGTTCATAAGCCGGGATTTAGCGCATATGAAAATAAAAAGCAACAGAGCACGTGAAATCTGAGTCCGCTCTCCGCAGTCCTTATCTAACGATCAAGTGTACAGACGCGACGTTTAAATTGCAACACGTCGATATTCGTTCCAACCGATACAAACGCGGATATAAAATCTTTTTTCTTCAAAACTTTTTAGAATATTTTGTGTTTGTTTGTAAGGCTCTCTGTTTAAATATATATTTTTTGAAACTGTCTTGAATAATTTTAATAAGATTTACTTTTCACCACATTGTACAGACAATTTAGCTAGCCGTTTTCTTAAAAAAACATGAACTATCCACTCTACATGTTTTTTTCTATAAATAAGGGGAGACATATTAATTAATGACCGAGTAATATTTTCAATAAACCTACGTTTTTGGATTTCATTTTAACGAGTTTCTCCCATGACCATGTTTACTATAAAGCTTTCGACATGCCGGAAACCATAAACCAAAATAAATCCTCGAAAGTATCCAAAAAGCTAATTTTATTTAAAATTAAATATTCGCGAAGTCTACGAAAGATTGTGGATTAAATAAACACCGCATAAAGTTGTAGGCCTAATTTAGTTGAATGAAA